CAGATGTCTGAAATAATCAACACACAAACAGTCCGACTAGTTCTTAGCTCCTAAATTATTTTTGACATAAAAAGTATTGAGGAGTAGTAAGCTTTACCTCAAAAAACATTAAATTTCAGAGGATTTATAAAATATTGAAATAAAAAAACCCAATAGGATTAAATCCTCTGCTAAAATTGATGAAATATTCCCCCACCCTTTATTGATCTACTTCTGTTAAGCAGGCTAGCTCTGAATTTCTGCTGAGAAGGTACTGGGGTTAACCAATATCAAAGTGACAATTTAACCTCAAAAACGCATAAAAAGAACAGAAAAAATTCAATATTTGCAGGAATCCTGTAGTAAATGAATCATCTATTTACCACAATTTGATTTCTTGCCTCTGAATATAAGGCTACATTAGGCAAATTGGCTATAAAAATAATTTTTTAGAGGACAAGAAAGAAATACCTTTGAACTTACTAGATTCATACACAAAGAGTATATGAACATTTATTCAGGCTAAACCTGTTTTGAAGAATCTTCATTTTAATTTCTGCCCAAACTACATACAGAAAACAAGACAGAAGACAGAATGTACTTTGCAAACTTTATGCTTTCGCACTGCACGATTCACTCTCGAAGAAAAGGGACTTGCTTGCTCTGTGTAATCATTGCTAATAAAGAGAAACAAATAGCCTGTCTAGATGAAAAAATTATGTTAAATGTTCCCATTAGTCTTACATGTTTCAGATGACTAAATTAAGATGCATTTTCTAAACTGTTCATCTTTTAGAGTGTCAAATAAAAATTTCTTAGTCTTGTAGAATTATATTGGTGAAGAAGAATATAATCTCCATTAACCTCTAAAATTGTGGTTTGGTTTCTGGCCAGCTTAGAGGAATGTACAAGTCTTTAGAACTAAATATGTTCAGCATATAAACATATAAATGCTAGATCTATTTTAGATTATCTCTAGTCCTTAAAGCAACCTTGTAGGTAACTATAACCCTGTCCCCACCCTTACTTTACAAATGAAGATACATAGAACGGTTCAGTAAATTCTCCAAGCTCACACTATGAATAGTGAGAGTTAGGTTTTAAACTAGATCTTTTGTATTCAAAACTTCTCTTCCAACTCTATTGTCAAATACATGCCATTCGTTGATGGTTTTACACACACATACTTTCGTGCCTGATATTAAGTAGTATTTTATATAATATGCATCCTGAGATTGCAAGTTAAGGCACTAAAATGAATCTGTGGAAACATTTATCCCAAATTCTTTTATTTCTAATAGAAGTAAGTGAGGCCTAAGGACTCAGCTAAGGACATACATAAAAGTAATAAAATTGGAACTAGAATTTTTCTTTTAAGCTTAACATTAAAGATACTATAATGTGACATAAAATTTAAAATTTTCTACTGTTAAAGTAAATTATGAAATAAATTTTTAATAATAAATTTTTAAGATTTTATCATCCATTATTTATGCCAATACATAAATGTAATAAGCTTTTCCAGGGGTGAATTTTGAAGTTGATGCCTCCATAGAACACATAACAGAAAAAATATGTGGGAACTTGGTTTAAAAACATACAGAATAGATTTCACACTGAGCTCTAAAAGTAGGCATTGAGCCCAATTTCTGGAATAAATCAAAGAGTAGGCAGAAAACAGACAGCAGGAACAGTTATTTTAGCAAGAAAAGTAGGATAAATTTACCAAGCCAATCATGGGATGATGTATGCAAATAAAAGATGCAGAAAGAAAATGTGCAACATTGATATGTGAACACATTTGAATGCAGGAAAGCAAAAAAACAGAAAGTACAATTGTCCTAAATGTGAATAAACATTCCAATTATGCTGCAGCTGCAAAATTTAAACTCAAGGAAGAGACGTTTGCAAAGGAATTTATTAAATAGATATGATTTCCTGGTTTCACATACCCAGTGGCTCTTTTATAAAGTAAAATGTACGATCTGTCTTGATATAAATGACATTTCCCCCATTGTACCAAATAGCAGAAATTCCCTTGTGAAAGACTTTACTTATTAAAGAGTACAATACTCTTGCTAATCAGATGCTCAGGCTCTGAATTACAGTTATTCCATCTAATAAAATGTCTTATACATTGAGTATGGCCTTATTAAACAATAAGGAGGTTTTTATGTGAAGGAAATTAGTCTTCAATGGCATATGCAAAGCAGTTTTTATGTAAGGAGTCAAGTTTCAAAAAAAATTTCTTCCTCCCCTGTCCCTTCCTTCCATCCATCCATCCATCCATCCATCCATCCATCCATCCATCCATCCATCCAACAAATATTTATGGATCTACAAAGTCTATAACACAGCAGGGGACATAAAATGTATCAAAAAGCTTACTATTGGGGATTTTATGATATTAAGATGATATTTGACCAGAAGACTCAAACCTTATCCTTAACCTAGTACACTTTCCACAATAGTGATGTTGGCAAGTGAGCTCTTTTATTGCAATCAGTCTTTGACTCAAATTGCAACATAGAACTTGTAGTAACAGCCTGGATCATTCGTTTTACACAGAGCTTCTCAAAGTAAGGTCTCTGTACCACCAGCAGCAGCATTACCCAGGAACTTGTTAGAAATGCCTCATCCCAGACCAATCTATGTTTGAGAACCAAAATGCATCAAAATCACTTGGAAGACTTGATACAGATCACAGAATTTGCTTTACTAGACAGTGGTCCAGACCACTGGTGAGTCAAGTCAGGGAATAAGAATAAGTCTGAAAACAGAGTGGCAGATTTTAAATGTTTGTTCAGAAGTTTGGACAATGATAAATTGGTAAATCAGTATATATTTTCTGAGCAAAGAGCAAACATGATCGGAACTTTTATTTCTCAAGACTTTAAAGGTGAATGAGACCACAGAGGCAACTGCATTGTCCAGCTGAGAAGATACAATTTATTTACTCTTTCTTTGATCATTCAGGAATTTGTCATACCTCAGATTAACTGGGACTGTTCACTCAGTTTGTATTCTGTGCTCAGGATTTGTGGTTTGTTCTAAGAGATACTCTCCACTGTCAGTGATTCTCTTCATCTCATAGTTTGATTCTGTCTCCCCAACTGCCACTACTTTTCTGGTTTCCCTGCCCTGACTCTTTCTGCTGTTCTTTCTCCTTCCCCTGGCCATTTTCATTTCTTTCAGTAGGTATTTGCATGCTAATATACATTCTTTAATATTTAAATGTTATTTGTTTTGATAGTTGCTCCTTATAGAGTTCACCAATTACATTCCTCCTCTGAACATATGATCTTCTGGATCACAACACAACCAAAACCTTTATCTGATTTAATTTTAATCTGTTAAAAGTCTTTATGTCAGAAAACTGACAAAAAACCCTAATTCACTTAAATGTGTTAAATCTATTTTGCTGGCTGACCATATCAAATTATGCTCTGACAAGCAAATTTAAGTCACACATTTCACACAAATAATGACACTGCTAACTGGTTGTTTCTAAATAGGAAAGATAATAATTATATGTTTTTGTATCCATAGATGCTTTCTTGCGGATAAAACAATATACAGTGAATAAGTATAATGAAATATTGTTACATTATCTCTCATTATTCCAACATTTTGGTCATACATCAAATATTATTATTTAATATCTCAAATGTACAGGTGAACCAAGATGCACTTCTCACTCTGAAATGTATTGATGAAGAAGTTAGTTTTGAAACAGAGTTCACTCTGGTTCTATGACACTTGGATATGATCCTTTAATGTCTTTAAAACACAAAACACTTTCTTCTTGGGGATAGTTCATCAGGAGCAAAATGTGATTTACTTTATGATTTAGAGTAAAATAAAAGGAATGATAAAAGATGCCTTTGGATCCCTGCACCATGCCCCCTTGGCTCACCTCTGATTTCAGTCATAGTTGCATAGACAGACCATTCTGTGCCAGCATGGTTCCCCTGGACTTTATAGTGTCTACCTCCTGTGACAACTGAGTATCTTTCTGCCTTCTGACTCATGTAGTGCCAGCAGAGCCCAGAATGTGGGGCCATTAGGAGCCCAGGGAGCAATCCACAATCAAGGAGAAAAGCCAGTGGATAAACCTCTTGCTGAACATGCTTCAGGCAGAAATTTTGGGAGGTTCCTTTATGCTCTCAGGGGTCCCAAAGGAATAAAATTCCCCTGGTCCACAGTAGTGGACTCATTCATCCCTGCTGTCTAACTTTTGAACCGTGGGCTCAGGTCCCCAGCAAACTACCATGCATACATCATATCTTCATATAAGCAATCCAAACAAAGATGCTAGCTTATTGAAATACTCAGTATTATCATTCCCTTCTGATTTGACTCTACATATATAGTATTTCTGATTTGTACATTACTAAGACCTTTCTTTTTTGCTTCTCAAAACTACATAATGAGATGAAAGGAGCAGAGATCATAGCATCACCTCAAGTATTTCCATTACCTTTCTTAGCACATGTAAATTATGTTGAGCATGTGTATGCTGATAAATTAACATTTGTACAACACTCTAAAAAAAATATGGAATCTGATACTATGCCACCTACTTTCATAATTCCAAGCTTAACCTAAAGTACAATAGTTTGGTCCACAATCATGAAAATAGTATTTGCTTGACCTACTACTCCAGATTAATAAGAATGAAAATTAAATATATAAAATACATCTTGTCCAGATTCTATACAGGCAACCAGAAAGTTAAAATCAGTCTTTAGGCTCAGCAGCCTATTAATATATCTGGAATTATAAGCCAGAAGTATTTATATTCAAATATACCATGCTATCAAGAAAGGAAAAAGAAAAAGAAAAAGAGAAAGAAAGGAGAGGAGAGGAGAGGAGAGGAGAGGAGAGGAGGAAGGAAGGAAGGAAGGAAGGAAGGAAGGAAGGAAGGAAGGAAGGAAGGAAGGAAGAGATTATTTCACATAGGATGGTTGAAGATGAAGCCGTAGGGATGTGTTATATAATAGGAAAGGAGATTGTTTTACCTTTGATGATCAATTCTCCATTTTTCTTGCTTCTAAGTAAGGAAAAGATCCAAACTAAGCAGTTTTTCTTTTTTTTTTTTAAACCCAATATTACTCGTGGCATGTGATGCTCAACTGTTCTGAAACAACAAAATGCAATAATTAGATGCAATAACTAGCTTGAAACAGAAAGATACTTAAGAAGATCTCATAGGAACTACTCTGACAGCCATTAAATTCAATAATCTGAGAAGTTTCACAGAAGATTTACATGGCCGTGTTCTTGCATGATGTTACACTTTGTATTTTATGCTTTCCAGAAAACAAAATCAACCAAAAAAATGTAACTGTAATAAATAGATTTGATATTCTAAAATCTACTTTTTTACTATTAACAATTATATCCTCTTTAGTCCATTTCCTGTTTGCCCTGAGAATACCCTCTGGCGGTGCTTGCAGCTGCAGCGTTTACCCCAAGATAACTCATGGATTACAGTCCTAAATTTACCCCCAAAGTATGCCACAAAATAGCTCACTTTTATTATTATTTTCACATCCCTCTAGTATATCCATAGTCTTTGGAAACAAATGACATCATTCTATTTATACCATTCTGTTTTTAGTAGTGGTATTTCCTATTACAAAATATAGTAATCTTGATCACTGAAAATGTCAAATCCTAGAAAATGTAGCATTCTATGAGTAATGTTAAATTGATGTCAGCAGCTAGCTACATTTTTTTCCTAAAAAGGAAAGGGGTTAAAAAGCAATAAAATTCAAGCATTAATCACTTGATTTTGTAATGTTATACACAATATATCTTATATACACACAATTGTATTTGCTTCCTGTTTATTATTTGTTTTACCAACATTGCAATTAAGCAACTGTGACTAAAAAAGGGGGTAAAAAATATTGTTCTTTTCAGAGTGGTTCTGATATCACTGGATGACACCAATCATAGCATAATATTCTCAAGCATACTCGTAGGGGCTTGCTATTGCCAAAGCCAAACCATTACCCCTTATAACTAGTGATACTTTCTCAAGAAAGTGATAAAATGGAATTTCTAATTGGGGCTAAACGTATAAGAGAGGTACCTATTCTGATTACATCACTTCATGCTGAGCTGTGACTTTCCTTTCTGAAAGGTCACAAAGAAAAGGAATTGTATTGTGTACAAAAATGATCTGGTATTAAAAGTATAGGAATCAACAGAGTTCTGCTTCTCAGCAAATTAAAATAGTGTAAGAAGAGAATGAGAAAAAAATGTAAATTTAAGTATTAAGCAGAGATATAATGATATTCAGAATTGAGAATATTGGTGTAAATAATTTTTTACCTTCTAATTATTTATGAGTTAAAGTGCCTAAATGAAGGTAGACATTATCATACAGAAGTGGCCAGAAGAGGTGACATCGCTTGCCTAATTTTATTCAGCCAGTAAACACAAAGGCAGAATATGACCTAGAATCTCTGCCTTGAAGTTCAGTCCCTTTAGAAACTCATAACAGTATATTTGTTTCCAAAAAGAATATTGAACATTCACAAAGTTCAGGGCTTATACAATTCTATGCAGAACTTGTTGGAGCAATTTTGAGGCTGGCAATGCTGACAGGTTAAGTATTAGAATGCTGTGGATGATAAAATATAAGAACAATAATAACAATAATATCATGTATTCTCATAGCACATAAAACATGCTGGGAATATTATGTTTTCACATGTCTGTCATTTGTTCATGTTATAAAGGATAAAAATGAGATTCCATTATCAAACTATCAGGTATAATTATGATTATGAATCCTGGTTTATATATGATTATTACACTAAATATTTTCAATATTCCACTAACAGACAAACTGAAACAAAATTTTTTCCTACGTAGATGAGGAATCAGTTACTCAAAGAGATAATGGAAAATAAATAACTGTTAAAACATGTAGAACTGACCATTGATTTGTTCATAAGTATTTACTGAGAATCTATTTTGTGTTAGACATTGTTCTTAATTGACTGTAGAAACAAAATGAAAAGATTATGCAATTTCTGAAAAAGAATTCCAGATATACAATAAGAAATCAGTTTTATTACAACTAGAGTGCTTCCGAAGTTTAGATAATAACTATGTAAAGAAATAACTTAATATTGGGTGGTATCTTAAATGTCATCTAGCTAATGGTTCCCAAATATAGTTGATTATCACAATGGTCTGGAAAGCTGCTGAAAAATTTATAGAATTTCATGCAAGATCTATTAAATCAGAATATTCATGGGTGAAGTCAAGGTGATCTGTATTTAAAAATGCTCCCTAGTTCATTCTCCTGATTCAGCAGGTTGGGAAACCTACTGATTCTTGCCTACTTCTCATTATACAAAAAAGGGAACTGAGCCCAGGGAATTGGCTTGTCCAAGTCATTAGTCTCTTGGTGATAGAACTGAGATTAGAATGCAGAATTCCCAGTTCACTGGAATGTGTTTTTCTTCTCCTTATCCCAAGGTCCCTCTTTTATTTTTCCTTCCTGCTCTTTCCCATCACCAAGTAACCAATATTTAGTCCCTATATCTGGAAAAAAAAAAAAAAAGAACAAAGAAAAAACAAACAAACAAACAAAATTCCCAAACCAGAAATCTGAACTTAAGCTGTTTGATTCAATAGTGTGTTGTCCATTATTCCACTGGGTTCTTCTGGAGTCAGCTACTTTGGGGGTGTCTACTCATCTCCTTTCTCTATAATCTGCCTAGTACTCCAAATTCCCCATCCTTCAAAGGTGTCTTCTATCATTTGTCATTGAATCATCATCCCTGGCTATCGTTGATTGGGCCAGGAGAGGTACTTCACCCAAGCAGGTCTTACTTATAATTTGGGACTAGGAGACTGTAGTCTCATTTAGGCGAAAGAGTAGTGGGAGCTTGGTCATCTTGTTCCTTAGAGGCAGAGGACGTGAACATTTGTAAACTGTGGAGAAAGAGTAAAAGAGACACACATGGAAGGTAGAGCAAGGCCTCTCTAACTTTATGTGCTTCGTGCTCTCATTTATTTTTTTTCCTGTGGCTTCCATGAGTTCTTGTATCCTTATGTGAGGTTCTACTTAAACATTTTTAAAGTTATTTATTTTTAAATTGATATTTTGGCTTAAGCTAGCTCAAGTTGGTTTGTTTCTGTAACTAACACATCTCACATCATTCATTTTATGTGAGTTTCTCTATAAGCCAGTCACCTTAGTTACACTCTTTTAAGAGGTTCATAAAAAAATATTGGCTGAGTGTGGTGAGAGAGAAATAGAAACTGTAAATGCCCAGCACTTTATGGAATACCTATATTTTCATGAAGTGCATGCTGTGAAGTGTGATAAAACAGTAAAGGGTCAGATCAGAAGTCTCTTAATCTCAGCTCTAACTCTTACAAGACTTTTGACTTGTGAAAGTTACCTAGCCTCTTTTAGTTTCAATTTTCGTATTTGTAAAATGAAGGTGATGAAGCCTATGGTTACTATGAGAAATAAATGAAAGCAGTCAGTCACTCACTCAGTCACTCAGTCAGTCACTCAGTCACTCACTCACTCACTCACTCACTCACTCACTCACTCACTCACTTCACCATTCCCCAAAGATTTACTGAGCATCCATCATATGCTAGATACTTGGAATAATCAGTGAACATTTCATTTTGGTAAAGATGAATAAACAGAAAATAAACAATAAGCACAGAGAGAGAATAAAGTATAGAGTACTTTCGAAGGTAAAACATACTACTGTTGTAAGAAAAATAGATCAATTTAAGGGGGAGCAGAGCACATGAGTTAGAGGATGTGAGGTATTAAGGGGACCTCATTAAGAAAATGAGATGTGACCAAAAACTTGAAAGATGTGTGGTGGTTAGTCATGTGCAAGAGAAGGGTCTTCTGGGCAGAGGGAACCACCAAGGTTACAGTTTTAAGGTGAGAGTGTGCCCAGTTGTTCTTGGAATTACAAAGAAGTGGAAATGGAGTGAAGTGAGAAAGGGGGAGATTAGTAGAAGGAAAAATGGCAGGGCAGTGGAAGGAGCTGTGGATAGGTAGAGGGAGGGATGAATCAAGGGTGGCCGAAACCTTTTTATCTTTTACTTTAAGAGTGAAATGGGGACCATCACAAGATTCTGAGCTCAGAATTAACATGGCTTATATTTCAACAGGCTCATCCTGGCTGCTGGTTGGGAATAGACCATAGGGAAAGTCAGGATAGAAGCAGGAGGAAAGCTCATCTTTTTTTTTTCATATATTATGTATATATACATACACACACACACACACACACACACACACACACACACACGTATATATTGACATTGGTTAACGAAATCCAGTAAGTTTCAGGTGTACAATTTAACAGTAAGGCATATATATGTGTATGTATGTATATATATATACACACTGGATTGTGTAGTCCCCTCCCACAGCTAGATTTCTTTCTGTCACCACATATTTGATCCCTTTGACCCCATCTACCTCCCACCTCCCCCCTCCCTCTCTACACTCTGGTAACTACTAGTCTATTGTCCACGTCCAAGAGTCTCTGTTTGTTTGTCCTATTCGTTTGTTGGGAAAGCTCATCTTTTTAAAGAGAGATAATGTTGGCTCAGACTCTAGCAGAGCTAGTGAGGAATGGTTAGGACCATGATGGGCTTATTTTGAAGCAAGAGTCAAAAGGATCTCCTAATGGACTGGGTAGAGAAAGTAAGAAAAGAGGGAGGCAAGGATGATTCCAAGGTTCCTAGCCTAAGCAAGTGAAAGAGTGGACCTCCATCATTTGAGATGAGAAAGGCTGTGGCTAAAAATGGCTTTGGGGAGACAGAATGAGTTTAGTTTGGCTGTATTGATTTTGAGATGACAGTGCCAAGTGGGCTTGTCATGCAGGTGGTTGGATTATACAATATTGGAATGTAGGAGAGAAGTCTGGGATGGAATTTGCAATGAAAGCTCCCAGAAGAATTTCTGGCTTAGGATAAGTAACTGATAATCTTATTTTCTCCAATCACAGATGATTATGTAGGGGTTAATCAAAATAATATATATAAATATATAAGTACTTGGTACATAATAGGAACTCAATGTATTTTATTTACTTTTTGTTTCCTGATTCGAATATTTATTTTTCTATT